GTAATCAAATACACAATAGAGTCAGATGAGGTTATGTAATCATGACCTGCGGATAGAGAGAAGTCTGGAAGTAATCGGCATTTTAATTTTGAAAGTCTCTTCCTGAGACTGGCAAATATCAGTAAAGTTATTTGAAATTTGATGGAATGCTGTGGAGAAATACGCAATGTGACATGTTTTGTAGGACGTACAAAGGAAGTCTGTAAACACTAGAGTGTGACTGAATTAATGAACAGACTGCGACGTGGTTCTGAAGTAAGGACACTTGACAAAAGTGCCTCCTTATTGTTCCTGGGAAGTTATTTCTAGCTTAGGGGAATTCCAGAGGCTTTATTCGGGAAGCGCATATTTTACATTCAGCACAAATAAATGAAAATATTTATATCAATTTTGAACGGCCCTTCGAGGTGAAAATCGGTATTGTTTAGAAATGACTAAGTTCATCGTGCTTCAGGAAGATAAGTCAAATGAACAGCATTTAGTATTTTTTTTCTTTATTACTACAACATTCTGTACATTTTTGTTCCACGATTACTTACAAGTTTCCACAAATTGTGCATTTCTTAATAGACACTTTAATATGCAGTTATTCTGGATGAAGCGTATTCCTATTGTGAGAAAACGGCTTATCATAATTGTATTAAATTAGAAAGTCAGCTGTTATTGCAAATTCTAAATTAATTACGTCCGACTGTTCAGCACAGGTGCATTCTCACACAGCAAATTTATGCGGTGTAATTCAAAAATTTTGTCCGACTGGTAATATAGTCAGTTCGTGTACCTGTAAAAAAAGATAATATTGTAAATAATCACGTGGTTTGCATTAGCATTGTTGAAGTAGGGTAATGTGTTTTAAATGGTAATATCAATGCAGTGATCCAGCCGGAATAGCTCAGTTCGATTCCCGGTAGAGGCAAATTCCCGTCTTCTCCACCACAGCCACACCGGCTGTGGGGCTAACCCAAGAATCTAATCAGTGGTTCGGTTCGTGGATTATTTAACAACACTGTAACAACTGCAAGTGTTATTTGGTGTCGGATGAGGTGACACGTGGCCCATGTGTGATGAATTAGTTACGATTGAGAAATGAATTTTTGTGCCTTGTTCAAGGGCGTTGTATGTGTGGAATGAATGAGTAAAACCGCTGAAATCTCAGAACATATGTTGTGTGCTGTCTGCATAGAATTCGGGTTCGTTGGTGCTGAACCAACTTGCTTAGTTGCGTACGCTGCTTACCGGAGCGAAAAGATTAGTGTGTGAAGACCTGGGTACCGCAACTTCAGAGGATATTAAGCCTAAGAAAGAGTGGAATCTTTCCTTCTACGTACCTTGTCTGTCTTTGCGGTCTAAGGTTTAGAAAAAGGGAGCATTTCAAGTTTACTTTAACATTATGATGTAGCTGTCTGCTGTTATAATAAGTAACACGTTGGTTCCTTAGTCATTGTCCGTGTACTTTAACCTAATTTAACGATAAATTACATATACCGTTGAAGAAGGCATAAGAAATATTGTATCTGTACATTGTTTGAAATATTAACCCTGAAGATGGAAAAGGGTCCAGCCGATACGTTACTGTTTTATAAACTAGTCCAGAGGTTTTTCTGAAAACTGACTTACCTGAACATGAGGTGGAGTACCCAAAACATACAAAACTCCGTCAGCGATGTCTTCGGGGTTCAAGCAAGGGCAGGAGCCCAGAAGTTCTTCGGAAGGCATTTCTGTCTTCACGAGCCCAGGACTCAGACTCTGCAAAATTCGAAATTTGAACGGTTCAGTATTTGAGGCAAACATCTACCGTACCAGTAAATTCTGAACTTTAGAACGAATAATAAAAAAATCACTAAGTTTTAGACTCACAGTGACCCTTATTTTTGAGTTCTGCTTAACAAGTTCACGACGAAGTCCCTCAGCCAGTATTGTGACGGTGTGCTTTGTTGAAGAGTGCATGACGTACCATTCTTTCGGAGGTTCGTGACCAAGAACACTAAGGGTACAAAACACAAATACAGTTACAGTCCTGGTCTGCATCAAGGGAGATCAAAAGCTATTTCATATGTGGTTAGTAAAGCAACACATAAGATTGGTGTGGAGATTGATGTATGAGGTCAGATGTCAGTAACTATCATCACATGATTTGTGTTCGGATACTGAAATGCCATATTAAGAAATTGAAATATTTTGTGGCCCGAGCTGTGCGTAAGCCAGGTAGATAACGCGTATGAAACAACACTCCGGCATGCAAAATGTCAATCTGATGGCTTAATCATGCACATGGTTTGATTCACGAGCCTGGAAACAGAAGAGCGGCTGTTTGAAAACATAAAATTCACAAATTACAGCACTTGTATGAATTTAAAAATCAGTAACCTGTTAATGTGGATGATGTGCCCGTCGTCCACTCCCCTCTCCTTCATGGACTGGAGAGCTTCTTTGGTGCACACACTGAGACCCAGAACGTTCAGGTCCAACATTTTCTTCATTTCTTCTGTTGATCCATCTATAAGAGAAATAAAGTATAAACGCTCAAGAATTCGGCTGTGTGATTTGTCTTTAGTTTAACAGTAAACGAAGGAAGAAATCAAAAATCTGACAGTCCGTCAATATGAGCACTTACTTATGAGGGAAGTATCGTAGCCTGCAGCAGCGTTATTTACGAGGATGTCCACGCCTCCGAGGTTGTCCTTGACCCACTTAAAGGCGCCCTGAACATCAGATTCCTTGCTGACGTCACATTTAACCGCGTACAATTTGCCTTTCGCCGACTTAAGAGATTTGGACAGTTCCTGAAACATGAAGACCATCACCGTTTCCGACAATAGGTACTTTGTTCTTCAAAGGCCCTTGCTGGATTTTAGTCGCAAATTTTTGTGTTATTGAGGTGAATCTAAAATATCTACTGGCGGAATAATGTGACACTTATTAGAATGGGGGCTAGATGTTATCTCGGAAGCTAAAATGTCTAATGACCGAATGAGCCACCTCAACTGTTAGAATCTCCACCGAATTGAATTTGTTGGTTAATTATCATATTAGGGTCTGTCTTTCCTCGTCCACAAATAAGCCACAACGATTAATCCGTAGGTTACCCAACCTTTTAATTTAGACAAAAATACATGGGTTACGGTCCAGGTTATTAAATAAATAGTAGGGCTAATTTTGGTGAAATAACTGAGCTGCCAGCTTTTATTAACAGATAACATTACTGTTTTAAACTTAGATTATACTTTGTAGTAATAACCCTGAGACACAAATTTCTCCCACTGGTTCATTGACAGAGTCGAAGATGAGGAAGAGATCACATGACTTTGCATTTATATGAAAAATTTGATGTAGGCCTCGCAAGCGATTATAAAATCTTTACCTGAATTCGCTCTTGTCTTCTGGCCAGTCCGACGACTTTGAGCCCCTTTTTTACGAGTTCCTCTGCAATGGCTGCTCCAATGCCACTGCTTGCTCCTGTCACCACGGCAACTCGGCCTGACCATCGCTCCATATTTTATTATGTACCCTGGAAGCATATGTTCACTTTCTATAGTAACATTTATAGAACACAATCGATTTGTGAGCAGAATTTCTACGGCCCACTTTGTTTCAAGTACCTCAGTCTATTCACTTGACCTAAAGATGTTCGTGGTATTTATTGAATATTGTGTTTATAATTTCCATTCTGAATTACATGCGTCTTTGTAACTGGTTCTATGTATTTAGGCTTGTGTTAAAACGGGATCCTGAATCTCGCTCGACGGTCTCATGAGTAAAATATTGCGACCCTCGTACAGTAGCGCCAAATTACGAAATCGATAGCTGTTCATTATTTTATAGACGAAGTGGCCTTTTTAAAATTTCATACCTGATTGAATTATAATGTTGCAGAATATCACTTCAGTCACGCTGAAGAAATCTAACACAACTGCTCTCAAAACAACTTCTGTCACGTCACTCCTGTTGAGCCCTTCTATATCAAGGCCCTGCCAGCAGTTGCCTCTATCATAGCGTGTGGCGTGGTTATCTATATTTCGTGATATCCTTTCCGCGCTTACGTAATCCACAGTACAAAACAATAAGGGCGGCCGCACACTCTCTGCGTCAAGACAATCATCAAGACATGAGACAAAAGACGCAATTTTGCTTCATTCGTGATTCAGACTCTGGTCCGCACACCGAAGTAGCAAGTGTCTGCGTCTTATCATATATTCTCTAGTTGATTCTTGGAACCTAATAAAACAGATAATATAATACGGGCAATCTGTGTCCTCCTGCAATCTGTGTCCTTCATAACTTCATCAGGTTAAAGGACGGCTTATTTAGCGAGCAGAGTCTAGGTGAAAATGATGATGACCATGACAAAGGCAGTTGTGAATCTATATTCCAAAACTTGCAGCCCTGCTGCAGAAGAGGAACTACTGAGGCCGTTGAAATGAGGAACCATTTGTGTTCTTACTTTTTGAAACCAAATGTAGCTCTTCATTAGCAGAACAAGTACACTTTAACATAAATCTTTTCGTTTTATGTGTGAGTGAGAGCAGACTTGTACGAAACGAGCTTAAGCTCAATGTGTATAATAGTTAATTCAGTCATTAGATAATTAAAATAAAAGTAATCATTGCACTTACCATCTACGTTTACTTCTTTTGAAACTGCATGCCAAGCTTTATCAACCTCCTCCTTGTTTGAGTGGCCCGGGGTCGAATAATCGTATATTACCGGGAAATTCTCAACCGTCTGCACTATCTTAATATTTGTTTACTCTTCACTCATGTCGATAACGTACACTGGTGCTGTTACTTGTGTACTGATGTCTCAGTCCTGACGCACAGAAAAGGAACATGCCGAGTCTTGCTGCACGTGTCTGCAGCATGAAGCTGGCGTCAGCATCATGACTCAGACCGGTATGCGGCGGTTTTCTTAATCTCATTCGTTTCAACTGTGCTCCTTTCTTT